TTAAAATTATTTTTGTTACTACTTAATAACTGTAATTTTGCTACTGTTATGAATAGTAATGTAAATATCTGATATGCAGGATGTATTTTCATTGTTACAAATTGAACATAATTAAAGCATAGTGATTAATCACAAAACAATATGTAATTACATATTGTGAAATATTTCTATTTGCCAATCAATGATAATGTTGTCTTGAAGCATGGTGTAGCATGGGTAACAGTCTTACTATAGCAACAATAAACTACATTGCTACATTTTGTGACAGTATGCATAAAAAGCCAACATCAGTCAGTGTGTAGGTTGAGATAGCTTCTTTCTCACCAGATCAGAAATTCTCTGGGCAGTCTTTGCAAGAGCACAATAAAGATCATCTTCCACAACAAGTCTACTTCTGTATTTAGACTTGATAACCAACAAGCTGGAAAACCATGTTTCACAAAGTTATGTTATTGGAAATGGAGGAATGCTGTGCAACACAATCTCAGACAGAACAAGATATGACTGTAAACACTTGATCCAGAATTTTGTAACTGGCATTGTAGAAAAATCAGTTCTCACTGCATCACTGTTAATAAGTTCAATGAACTCCTCTTTGTGCTGTCTCAGGAGCATCGTCAACTTTGAGTGTGAATGGGCCTCTGGCAAGTGCCAATGGGGTGTCAGGTAGATCTGGAAAGTATAATGAAATTTTGTCTGCAAGCATGTGCAAGTGTTCTTTCACAGAAATGATCTTCATAATCCTTTTGTCTGGTCAATGTCATGTTCCGCAAAGAAAGCAGATAAGGTAGGCAACATGTCCATTTTATTTTCATCCAATTTTTTTTGCCAACGCTAAAGTTTCATTTGGAATGATTGGATCTTTTCAGACATATCGAGGCATGTGGCATTTGGTCCTTGCAGTGATAAATTTAACTCATTCAAGATGGCAAAGATGTCAACCTAGTAAGCTATTTTCTGCAGTTCGCTTTTATAACTGTAAAGTGCTTCTAACTGCATTTTAAAGCTTTTCGC